CCGTTTCATTTCGCTGGTTTTTTTCGTCCCTCCCCTACCCCATCGGTTTAGTTTCGCGTCACCCTCTCACACAACGAAAAAAATCTTAACGGATCATAACTTTCCATGCGTCACCCTCCCATCAATGCAATTTGATTTAGGAAACATATAATAAATTTTAAGGAAACAAATAACAGACTTTAAAGAAAAATCCAATTTTAAGGAAACAAATCAATCGATCCATCCAAATCAAACGATCCATCTCATCAATGCAATTTGCTTTAGGAAACATATAATGGATGTGAAGGAAACAAATAATAGACTATCTAAATCAATCGATCCATCCCATCAATGCAATTTGATTTAGGAAACATATAATAAATTTTAAGGAAACAAATAACAGACTTTAAAAAAAATCCAATTTTAAGGAAACAAATCAATCGATCCATCCAAATCAAACGATCCATCTCATCAATGCAATTTGCTTTAGGAAACATATAATGGATGTGAAGGAAATAAATAATAGACTATCCAAATCAATCGATCCATTCCATCAATGCAATTTGATTTAGGAAACATATAATAAATTTTAAGAAAACAAATAACAGACTTTAAAGAAAAATCCAATTAACTAATCTCTACTCTTAAAGGCCCCTCGATTGATTTTTGTCCCTCGCTTCCTTTCCCAGCACTTATACAATGGAAGGAATTATAATCCACCTATTTGTTCTCCTATATATCCGTGCAGGCAACACAACATAAACCGGTGAAAAAAACACTCACCTCGCACGTCCCCCTGCCTGCAATCCCGAAACGCCGCCATCGCTCCAGGCTCCAGCCTCCGCCGTCCTACATCTTGCCCCTCTCCAACCTCAGAGACCTCCGCCACCGCCGCCATCTCGGAACCCCAGTTCAGGGCAGGACTCAGAGAGGGTGTGGCTGTGGACGACGCTGCCGCCGTCGCAGAACCCTAGGGCAGGGCGTGGTCGCGTTGCGGGCAGCGCGAGCGGACGTGCGTCTCCCCCGTCAGGCTGTCCTCGGCAGGAACTCGGGACCTCCTCCTGACAGAGCTAAGGCCCTCCGAGGTCCAAGTCGCTGTGCGGCGTGCACAGTAATCTCCCCGGCCTACTCTGCCTTCACGTCAATGCTCATGTGCTCCGACCCTCCCCGACCCCTCCCAGCAAGCAGCAGAGTCTCTCGGGTTCGAGCTCCACCGGGCCGCCGGCGGCGGCGTCCATGTTCGTTGGGCGGAGCACAACGCTAGGTTTGAAATTCACCATGATGCTACTGATGAGGCTCTCCTTCTCCTTTGTTTCGTCTGGGTTTTTTCGTCCCCCCTCCCACCACCCCATCTCGTCTGGGTTTGAAATCAATAAGAGCAGCACAAAGTCTAGGTCCCTGTCTCGGTGGCAGACGGAAGGAGAAGAAGGATTGATATGTATGAGAATATTAATATTGAACTCTTAAAGTTAATGTGGCCCCGTTGCAACGCACGGGCGTTCTTCTAGTACTAGTAATAGCTCTAGGTGGTGTCATGGACGGACGGACATGCACCAATGTCATGTTTGACGATCGCGTGCCCGATTTATTCAGGGCCACCGGGACGTGTCGCCCTCCGCCTCCATATGCGGATGCCGGATTGTTGCCATGGCCGGAGATCGGATGGTGGGTTAAATGCCACTACTCGTGGCGGGCGGGAGGCAAATTTATTTCGACCTCGTGCTCTCGGTGTTGTGTTGTCCGGTGCTGCCTGGTTGGGTTGCAGTTGCAGGCCCTCTTCTTAACTCCGGAACTATTTACCGGCCTTCATCTTGCCGCCTTGCCCATGGCGATGAGGACAGGGGCACGCGTGCTTGCTTCATTGTCGGGGCGAGACCGCCGTGAACCAGCCGAGAGCAGTTCCATACCGTAGGCCAATTCGAGAGGCAAAATTAGAAATATAAAAACGGAATGACGTCAGGTGGGTGGTCCCTGCAGCCGCCGGCATGGCTGACTGAGCACGAGCACGACGGACTCCAGGGGCAGCGGTGCATGGCTAGCCAGGATCCGTAACTTTCTGTCCGCTGCGCCGGTCACCGGGTCTGGGTGGCCCTGTGTTTCCAGAGCGTGTGGGGGGCATGGCCGTGGATGCATTTGTGCTTCGATCTCCATGTTTCGAGTGGGCGGGAGATCGAGGGAAGCGATCCGCGACGATCGATCACGTTGGGAGGACGAACGCGGTACACTGATCGCTCCCTTGCTAGCCCCTACCGCTACTAATTTGTCCCCGTGCATCGCGTTCGGGGTCCCCGCCGCCGGGCGCCGGCCGTCGTGGGCTATTAAATTGGGACGAGCGAGCGAACGAGGCCGATCAAGTGCATGAGCGCATCATTCGTGCATTTCGTGCATGTAGTTGGAACGGACCGGTCCGGACTGGGCTCCTCCCGGTGGGTGCCCGGGACCAAGCCGGAACCGGCCGGGGCCATCGCCCATGGAGCACGCCGCTCGTACACCACCGTGCGCGCGTGCGTGGGCGCACCTCCACCGTATCCACCGGAGAGTAGATGTAGATGCGTGGGAGTTGGGAGGGACCGTGGCCTGTAGCTCCACAAGCGTGAACTGCACTGCAGCAGGGGAGCGCGTGACGAGAAACGAAGTCCTGTCCACTGCACGGCTTCCCGTTGCGCGATCGGCACCCCTCCGCGCTCTGGCACGGCGCGCCGATGCCCCGACGTGGCACCGCAGATCGCGCGCGGCGCGCGGCGGTGCAGGGGGGACAGTGGAGCACAACATGGCGGACACGGCTCAGTTCAGTGCAGTGCGGCGAACCCCATCGCCATCGGATTCCTTGGATTGGGACCAGCCCAACAGCGGCCCGCCCGTAGTACTGCTGTGAGAATGAACTGATCAAGCGGGAGGGGGGGTAGCTCGGGGTGACTAGGGCTTAGCGCTCCGTCCAATCTTTGGATCTTTGTATCGACGTGAAAAAACAAGGTAGTAGGGCAGAGAGAATAGAACACACCACATGCACACATGCTGAGATGAAGGTGAGCGTACGAGCTTTCCAATTATTAAGTACTGGCCCGAGCACGTTTTGGGTTTGCCATATCTGCCGTGCCGTCAGGATCCGAAGAGCCGGGACACTCGCAGATAAGATGAATGAAAGGGTGAAAAGCTACTCGTATGCAGTGAAGATCGGAGTGTGAATGAATGAATGAAATCCAAAGTGCACCACTCCTCCAGTATCTGGGGAACCGGGAAAAGCGCTGCTCGCTCACTCCAGTAATCCCGCTTGCTGAAACCAGCTGCAAACCCTAACAAATCCCCTGGCCGGTAACAGTACAGTGTTGGTAGCCGCCATTTTATGCCGGAGCAGAGCACGATGGAAAACACACATGGAGGGGAAAACAGACAGCATTCTGAAACAGATCCTGTCGTACTCTACTGCCTCAGAAGGTCAAGCAGCTGAACCAGTGACCGTTCAGTCTCAGCTAGATTCTTTAGAACGGAGTAGCATTTGAGTCCGTTCCTAGGCCGGGCCTTGGATTCCATTCCGATGCTCCACTGTCCGCGCTGCCGTTTTTTGGAGCCTTTGCACAAGTCAGGAGCGATCAAGTCCCGGAGATCCACAGGCCCAGGCCATGCTTTCCGAGGCAGCAAGATGCTCTTTCCGAATCATTCCATAGCTTCCCGTTCCCGGGGGCCCGTCGTGAAACTCACCATTATCGATGAAACTCATGGGCACTAGCACCCATGGTTTATTGATATAGGAGAAGCATCCCTTGTGAGAAACCAGAAATTCGTCCCCGACGTGGCTCGAACCCTGATTGCTGGAGACGCCGCTCTCTTGCCACTAGGCTACAGCCTAGTTCTCCGAAACTCACCATTATCAAACTGAATCAATCAATCAACGAAAGAAAAAGCTACTACTGCAAACAAGCAGAGCAGATTTATCACACACAGTCTAGCCTGGCGTGGTGGTCATCCGATGCCACAACAAAGCCTCGCTAGATTTGGCCAGCGTCCCACGAACCCAGAGTCCCAGACCAACACACATGACCAGCACAGTATTCAATTAGCAGCAGCGAGTAATAGCATCCGAGGATTACATTACATCAGATCAGATCTGCAATCTGTGTTGGCTCCTTTAAGATATGCTACTAGCATGACAAAAAAAAAAGCTGAGATAGCATGTCCGGTGTCTGTCTTCGGGTGAGATGAGACGATGGGTCACTCCCATCACTGTGACGCTGCACGTAGTACTACACTGCTCCTGGACCACACCCCTGCGTTTTGTACCCAGCATCACCTGCTCGTTCAACGAGATAAAAACAGCGTGGGTTGGTTAGGCACAGCTGCTGTTCGAGTTCCAGTTCTGAACCTAGAATTGCCATAAACACACAATGAGTAATGCTAGCTAGTATAACCGAAACCACACAACAGTTCGTTCCACAAGGACACTGTTTCTGACATGTTCAGACCATGAATGACTACCGAAACTAACGGCAATAGTTTGCATACCTAATTACCTATGCTACAAACTCTGCTAAAAATTGAAGGCCCTTCTGTTAAATGATACTCCCTCAGTTCACAAATATAGGATGTTTCGGATATTTCAATATGGACTATATACGGACTGAAATGAGTGAACAAACACACGAAAATGTGTTTATATAGATCCAATTCACAAAAAAGTTAGAACATCTTATATTTGTGAACGGAGGGAACAGAGAGCAACCGGCAGCTACCAGAATACCCAGACCAAGAACTTCCTACTCAACTGATAGGAACAATGTACTACTTTCAGTTTATTCCAGCACCTCAGCCACACATGACCAGTCTAACAAGACTTCGGTTTCAGTATTATTAAAAACAATGATCTGTGACAAAAATTCTCTTACCAAGTAACCTTGCCAAGAGACTGCCTCATCTAACTATTGAAAGCCTTTTTTCACTGATGATGGTCTGATGGTAAATAGAGCTTAAGAGGAAGAAACAAAATTGGTCATATTTGCTTTTTACCCACTATTTAGCTTCTGTCCTTAGTTGAATTTAGTGATGAAGTCAGATAACACACTGGTGTCATTACAAGTGTCCCTTGTGGATAACCATCTGTCATCAAGCTGAACATTTACATCCCTGTTCCAGGAGAAAGAAATATGTCATTTTTTCATACGCCACCAAGAATTCAGTTCAGCCTTACTGCAAAGACATATCTGTAACCATACGTCCAGTATGCTACTACATTTGAACACTTGCTTGGTAGAAAAAAAAAGTATTACCTCCGTCCCAAAGTATTTGTCTTAAATCTGTCTAGATACAGATATATCTAACACTAAAACATGTCCGTATCTAGACAAATCTAAGACCAGTAATTCGGGACGGAGTACATGGCAGGTTTTGTACCTTAATAGTACAATAAGCTATTTACATTGACTCCACAATGCAAAGTTTATGTATATAGATGCCAATATATGGATACGATCGAAGGGAAAGTTTTGTATGTTCATTATATAAAAAAGTTCATACCTCCTCAAACTGAGAACTTCATAGTTTTTTCGCAAGTAATCTGCATGTTTGACCAACACATCCTGGGCATACTCCTTGCCTACAGTTCTAACTGCAGCTGTATTAAGTAGGTTTTCCAATGAACCATGTTTGTTCAGTAGTTTCACCGCAGTCTTGCGACCAAAACCAGGAGCCAGATGCTGGATTCCCGGAACACCATCTGCTTCATCACCCATAAAGCATCCTACACAGCATAACTTCTAATTCATCAATTGATGAACAAAAAAGAACTGAACAGTTGCAGATTATCCTACAAGACATATACTCACTGAGGCTCAAATCTACAGTTGGATCACACTTGTATTGTGCAACATAATGCCTCAGCGTATAGAAGGACCATCGGCCAATCTCAGGAATGGGCATAACTAACTGAACATCTTCAGATATCAACTGCTTGAAGTCCTTGTCAGGTGAGGCAATGACAACTCTATAACCTTTCTGTAATACTTGCTCTGTCAAGGTAGCCACTACATCGTCTGCTTCATATCCATCGACTTGCACAATCTGAGTTTGCCGTTCACAAAAACATTAGGATCAGAAAGAATTGTGACAAAGAGAGCATTGCTGATTGCGCAATTAACACAACTGTGTCCGCCATCTCTGGTCCACCCACCGGAACATTGCACTCGCGGAGCACGTCGACCACGCGGGAATCGGCACCAGTGCCTGCGCCGCGAGTCCGGTGCGCTTTGTAGGACGGCAGCAGCCGCCTCCGGTACTCGTTCCCGCCTGCCCCGTCGAAGACCTAGCACAACGAGAGAGAATTAATAAGTCACTGGAAGGAGCACGGGAAGATGACTCCTTTGTAGGGTCTGGGAGGATGTATACTCACGGCCACAACGGGGTCGCGGAGGCTGACGTGCGTGAAGAAGAGCGCGAGCCAGCGCGCGAAGGCACTGAGGCTGCGCTGGGAGCCGCGGAAGCATATCGGGTTGACGTCGAGGAAGAACACCCGGCCCTTTGAGGGCCTCGCCGGGGCGTCGCCTCTGCCCGCCAAGTGTTTGCGGGAATGCCTCGCAGACGGCGGGGGCGGTGAGCTGGAGATCGCAGAGGTTGAAGGAGAGGAAACCGTCGAGGGAGATGCGCGGAGTCGTATGGGACGATATCTAAGGGGCGCTGCTGCCGCGGCGGCGGTGACCGGAGCTATCGCCGACGCGGTGCCCGTGCCCACGGCGGGCAGCGGCAGTGGCATGGTGGTGCTCGGTTTGGTGGGAAGGGGATGTGGGAGTTGCGGATGTGGATAAGGGGCCGAAGGAAACAGAAAACGCTGTTCGGATGTTGCGAAGGCCCATCTAACATGTATGGGCTAAAATGGTCCCGTTGCAGTTTCAAATGTGGTGGGCTTAGGCCGTCCCATCTTAACAAAGTGGACATTTCTTTAAAAAAAAGTGGACATTTGGAGCGAGTAATTTTTTTTCTAGTTATCTGAAAAAAAAATTCTCTAGACTATTTTTTTGAAAGTATTCTCTTGCTGATGAAGCACTCTAGTCTTTCAGAGACAAGCCGAATTGCATAGCGTTAACTCTTGGCACGGTGTGTAATTAATCCGTTTTTAGGGGTAACTAGCAAGATGCCCAAAATGCCCGTGCGTTCCATGGAAAATCAAAATGCATTTGTATGAGTAGTTTATCTTGTGAAAGAAAAAAAATTAAACGAAGGAAAACCTTATCTGCAAATGTGGGGAAGAGTGTGGGTAAATTGTCATAGTTTCCTTTCTATCCGTTAGATATATATTGGACAGACTATACCGAAAAAGGCCTTCGCCCCGCTTTATATATAAAGCAATGATCAACAGCATCCGACACAAACGCACGCCCGCACAACACACCCAAACACACCCAAGGCAAGATACATAGGCGTTGAGCGTAGCAACACCATCTCTAACACTAAGTGAAGAAGTGAAGCCGCATATGACGAGACGTGGGCTCCAAGGCGGCGCCTTCAGGAAGGATACGACACTGAAACACCGACACCACCCGATTCGATCGGACAGGCTATATTGCAGGATGACAGATACATCATCATCATCAACTCTATTTTTATAATACTATAGATAGAGATTAATCCGTTGTTTCAGAAAGTGAAGCTCCACTACAGCACCTGAGGGCCGATTCACCGCCGTGCTGTATATATTCGTCCCTTCAACCCGACGATTCGCAAGGGTCACAACAATGTACTATATTTATAAAGCGTTCGCCAATTGTCATCCGCGGCGAGAACGACCGGAAGTTCGGCGACGACGCGTGAGCTTGCACATCAACGAATATCTCCGTTTATTTTTTAGGAAATCCAACGAATATCTTGGTTCGCCGGCGAATGATAACATGTTACTTTGCTTGATCCCCTCGTCCGAATTGACTTCTTTTTAGAGCATCTCCAGCCGTTGAGCCCTCACGAGGCATTTTTTTTCGCCGCTTAGGGGGCTGCCGGCGTAACATTTAGTCTTGGGGTGAAAATCTATCCACTCGTTGGCCCCCCCACGCACCACTCGTAGCCACCGCACGCCCTCCTGCTGCTCGCCGCCCTTGCCACGACGCCTCTTGCTGCTCGTCGCCCTCACCAAGACGCCGCTCGCCGCCGTCCAGCGTGCTCCCCTCCCTCCCTGTCGGCGCGAGCTTGGAGACAACCCAAAGGTGGACTGCAGCGGCGGCAACGCGAGCTTGGAGGCGACCCGGAGCTGCGCGAGCTCGGCGGCAACTCACACGGCCGCCGCGCGCGCCTGCAGCTCGACCCGCGCACCCCGCCCCTGCAGCTCGTCCCGCGCCCTTGCTTCTTGTCCCGCGCGCCCTTCAGCTCGTCCCGCCGCGTCGGCCTGCTCGGCACCACCGCCCGTCCGCCGGAACGCCGGAACGGGGGCAGCGAGGCGCCCCTGAGGCACTGCGTGGTGGGCAGCGGGTGGTCGGACGCGACGAGGCGGCGGACCCCGGAGCACACCTTGTAGAGGAAGTGGGCCCAGGTGCCCCGACCGAGCGCGACCGCCTCCTCCTCGATCATCTTCAGGTCGCCGGCGAAGCCGCAGCCAGCCGTGGCCCCAGTCCCACCAGCGCTTGAGCGGGCCACCCGCGAACTCGGCGGCGAGCGACGGCGCCGACCGGGTCCGCCGGAACGTCCACTCGGCGGACGTGGAGGAGACGGGCTGGATCTTGTGAGGATGGTGGCCATGACGACCAAGCAAGGAGGAAGGAGATGGTCGAGTGGAGGCTTTGACCGCGCGAGCGCGAACCCCGCCCCGGCCATGCGCGCTGTGTGCGGTAGGTGGTGGAAGGAAAGAAAGAAGAGAGAGGAGAAAGAAAAGAGAGAAAGGGGAGGAGAGAGGAGAGAGAGGGGAGAGAGAGGGGCTGACGAGTGGCCCTGTGCATGCAAAAGGCAACAGCCGGCGTCCCCAGCTGCCCCCGGGGGGCTGGCTTTGGGGTGGTAGTGCCGGCCATAACTTTCGTGAAATCCGGCGAAAAACGGGTCTCTGGGGCTGACTGGGGCGTTTTTTGCCCGCCGACGCTCAAAAAGTGGCTTGGGGAGGCTTGTTGGGGGGCCGGCTGAAGATGCTCTTAGCATCTGGAGTATTATACAAAAAAAAAGTACAGCTTGAAGTATTGGACGAGTTCATTCATCCCTACAAATTAACCATAATAAAGTTGCCATCAGACTATCAGACGCGACGAGCCTACAACTCAGTCGCAGAAGATCCCTGAACGTACGTCTCCACACATGGCACGTGATATTGTTGTTTTGGCCGAAAGTACACACGAGTTCGTGTCCATTTCGAAAAAAAATCCAATTTTTTTGCCGCGCTTAATCACTGCTTGCTTTGGGATCCTTTTTTCGCATGCGAGTTTCTTGATCCCTTCACCTCTGTGTTAATTTGGACCGGCAGTGCGATACTTCAACCTAGAGCCCGGGCTCAGATTAGCCCGGTAAACAGTACCTCAATTTGAAATAGAAAAAAGTTTAATCTTTTTTGTGGTGCAAGATGCTCTTGTGCGTGAACTTCGTGCAAAATTTTGTGAAGTTTGGACATTCGAGGAGTTCATGGCAAAAGTGACAAAATCAGGCATTAACAGTGCGATTTTCAAAAAAAATTAGACATCCAAAATTTGTCTTTGTCTTTTTTGCCATGAGCTCCTCGAATGTCCAAACTTTACAAAATTTTGCACGGAGTTCACGCTCAAAAGCATCTTGCACCAAAAAAAAAGGTTAAAACTTTTTTTCTATTTTAAATCACGGTACTGTTCATACTCGGGCTCAAGTGAGCCGGACACCAAATCGCCGCTCTCCCGGCAGTGCCCTTTTCAAAAGACAAAAAAGAAAAGGACCGGCAGGGTCAACTCCTCGCTGCTCTCGTACGAGGGACGGGAAAGAAAAAGGTGCAAACTCCTAAACTGACGAATAGTAAGGGCATGTACAATGATTGATAAGGTAGTCTTATTTTAACTCTTGCATGTAATTTAGAAATGACAAAAAAAAAGTGTATACAATGGGTCATCTCTTAGCCTTATGTTTAATAAATAGTTATTCCTAAAAACATGGTGAGACATATTGTGCTAAGAGATCATCTTTTGTCTTATCTTAAATAAGAGAAGACAAGCTTTTTCTTATGATTTCTCTCTCCTCCACCTCATCATTTATCCTACGTGGCATTGCTAAGATAGAACCATTGTACATGCCCTGATATGGACAGACATCCATCCTATTCTCGCTATCGAGCGCCGCAAATCGCCTGACCATCGCGATGTCGCTGGCGAACATTATCTACTAGCTGGGTGGTACTAGGATTCCAAATGAGTGTGCGCAAGACAGATCCCCACACAGACAGACATCATCATATAATTATGCTTCTACTAGATCTCACGCCACATGGCAGCCGGTTATTTTGGTGACACGCTAGTATACGATGACACGCCAGTTGAGCTGTGGCGTCGTGGGTCTAGCTGGGGAGGAGAGAAGGTATCCCCTTTGTACTACGACGCATGTGGATTCTGCAGCCTGTCGATCGTGCTGGGCGGCCGCCGCGGCCAGCGATTCCGCACTGAGCTTGTGGATATGGCGCTGGCACTGCCCGCGTCGCGACCAGCCCGGCGGCCGGCGCCCTCCCTTTTTCCGGGGCTCGGCCACCGTCGTTTCATTCGCGCCGCTCCCACGTCCATGGAACGTGTCCCGTCTAGGTGGACAAGCTGCGCCGTGCTCTAATGTACTGTTTGGATAGTGCGGGTCAGAGCAATCAAACTCAAAAGGACGCGCGCTTTGTCTGGGTCGGCCGAGCAAACAGCTGTGTTCACCTTTTCATTTGGTTCGGCGCAAGCACCCAACATTAGTCCGACACATTTTTTTGCGCGTTGACCTAGAAAAAACCGCACAAACAATTCCAAACTAACATATTTAAACATTAAAACGCCGGTTGAACGTTTTAGGACCGAGAGTACATCGACCAGGGGAGGGGGGGGGGGTGAATGGGAGATTCAAAATTTCTTTCGAAAGTTTTGAAACCGGTCCCAATCATAGCAGCGGAATAAAGTAAAAGAGGAAATAAACTGAATCAATCTTCTTCTTCTGAAGCATATTTCCCGATGAAAGAAGTGATACCAGTAAGTGCTTGCGAAATCACAGGTTTAACTACGAAGAGAGTAATGCAACTTGCAAACAGACACAGTAGGATGAGGCAGAACATGATGCGGGAGGTGAGAGATATGCACGAAGGTTATCCGAGGTAAAATGATGATGTCTAAACGGAGTGATGAAAATGCTGGAAAGAGATACGAAGAATAACTTATGTGAATGACAACAGAAGCATATGAGTAAGAAAAACACAGTAAATGATAATGATCAGATAACTATTGACACAGAGCACGAAAGTAAACTGCTGAAGGAAATGCAGTAAAGTAGAATGAACCAGAGGTGCTCGATGACGACAATGAGATTTGGTAGACCGGTTCACCCTTCTGCCAAAGGGCTACGTCTGGTTTGAGGGCATGTGTCTTAACACGGAAAATAAACTCTCTTCACCTTATTCTCCTTCAACTCGAAGCTGATCAGACTTCAGTAGAATTCACTCGTGGTAGATCCTTGTCGGTGATCTCCAACCCTTCGGTCGACCTTCGCGAACCACAATCACTCTTGGTTGCTGAAGATCTAGCTCGGTGAAGACAACAATTCTTCAACACTCGAGCCGAGACCTATCCGTCTAGAGAGTTCGCAGCTCTCAAGAGTAACAAGTACAAGAACTCTAACTCAGAACTACTGTGATGCTAAACCACGGTCTAAGTTTGGGCTCTTGATTTTTCTCTCGATGTATCTTAAACTCAGATCACTCGAAGAGGGGTTGCTCAAATCAATCTTCTGAGAAATCTCAAGCGGAGCAGCCAACGAACAACGTTGGAGCGGGGTGGCTATTTATAGCCGCAGCCTTCCCTGGAGGGAAATGACCAAACTGGACATCGATAGCAGCCAATGGCCGAATGACACGAGTCCAACGGTCAGATTTGAGCACAACAGTAACATTACTTGTGGAGCAAGTAATGCCAACTCCTCGGTCTGAGATAAATCTCTCGCATCGAAGAAGATCACAGTCTCTTCCTGGCAAGTATTTGCTCGGAACACAAAGAGATTTCTCTGGCAACTTTCATAGGTTTTGATTAAGCATCACTGCGGATCTAACCTTTGAGAACCTATACCATCTAAATTGTACGGAGGTCACTACAAAAAAAAGACACATCCGTGACATTTTGGGCCGAACGAATTTTTTTCTTGTCATACTTATGACACTTCTATGACGATAATTGTGACAAAATCCGGTATCATCATAGATGTAGTGGGCTCCTACTTCTATGACAAAAAATCATGACAGAAAATGGATTTTTTGTCCTGGGCAGGCCGGAGACGCAGCTGCATGACATTCTTTGGGCCGTCCATGACGGAAAAACCGTGGTAGAAGCGAGGGCGAGGAAAATATCAGGGTGTTCCCGGTTACGGTGGGTGGTTGGGGCCGAGCGTGGGTGCGAGGCGTTGGGCTCTAACTGAACCCGAGCGAGGTGTTCGCCTACTGAACCCGAGTGATTGCACTGCAGGCTACGCGTTACTGAACCCGAGCGATCGATCGATGGCTGTTAACTAAACCCGGTCGAGTGATTCCTTCGCTACTGCTGCTAACTGAAGCCGATCGATGCTGCCTCTGGATGAATAGTGAGCGTTGTTGGGGGGTTTGGATGAATAGTTCCCGGTGGGGGTTGGATGAACAGGACCCCGTGGTGTTGCCGCTGGATGAACAGAACCACGATCGATCGAGCCGGTTGGGCGTGGATGAACAGGACCACATGGAGGGCTGGATGAACAGGACCCCATGAAGGGAAGGTTGAGCAGTAGCCGGTGGAGGGCTGGTTGAACAATAGCCCGTGGAGGGGTGGTTGAACAGGACCTCGTGACGAGGGCTGGTTGAACAGTAGCCGGTGGAGTAGCGCGCAGTGGAGGCTGGATAAACAGGAGCACGAGGATGAACAGTCGCAGGTGGAGGCTGGAGGAGGTCGACGGTGGATGAACAATAGCCCGTGGAGGCTGGAGGAGGTCGACGATGGAGATGAACATTATCCCGTGGAGTCCCGTTTTGCGGTACGCCACACCCCTCCCGATGAACACGACCCCTGTTTCAACCGTAGCGCTCCAACACAAGTCCGTTTCCTCCGTTTTGCGGTACGCCACAACCCTCCCGATCAACAGGGCCCCGTTTCGACCGTAGGAGGTCCAACAGAAGTCCGTTTCCTCTACTTCGCGGTATGACAGACCCCTCCCGATGAACAGGATCCTGTTTCAAATGTGGCCGGTCGAACACAAGGCCATTTCCTCCGTTCTGCGGTACACTAGGCCTCGTTTCCATTAGCTGTTCCGTCCAAGCCGGTTGGCTCCCACTCGTTCTGTTGCCTCCCGATGAACACGATGCATTCCGTTGCCTCCCAATGAACAGACGACACGCAATTTCTCCATTCTGACCCAGCAATGTACACGAGCCCTGGCAGTACGTATGCGCGAGTAGGCGTTTGAGACCCGCCCGTATGTACATACGTGGACGTATTTTCTTTCTTGCACCTTGGCCGTTGTACATAAGTGTACATGCTACGTGCACGCCTATACTACGACACATGCGCGCCTCTACATCGACCAATATGTATGTACACGTTCGCGACCAGAATAACAACGCTGCGTACGCTTCAACCAGGTGGGTCTCGACTGTCAGACACTTCCTTGCGTGCGAA